CTGGGGGCGGGCAGGGCGCGGGGCTCGGGACGCGGGTGGGGACGGGGCGGGAGGGTCTGGCTGGGCGATGCGGGGACGCGGCTTCCCCGGTGCCGCCCCCGCCCTCCCCGCAGAGCCCGTTTCCCTCCCGACCCCGCTCTCACCCGCGCGGGTCTGGGTCGGGGCCAGGGCGGCCGCCAGCAGCAGGAGCAGCGTGCGCGGCGCCACCGCCCCCATCTCGGATCTGGGCGTCCGGGTTCCGCGGTCTGCGGACTTTATACCCGGTGCCCGCGGACGGTGGTTGGTTCCCCGGGATCCCGACACCCAATGGGTTGAGAACCGCCAAGTCTTCATCAGTGTCCGGGCAGAAGGAGCTGACACAGGTCAGGAGCTGGAGAAGAGAAACTGGGGACAGGGGATCCCCGCGCTGGGCGTCCCCACCCCGGACCTCACCGCCTGGGACTAAGACTTTGTCTGACCCTGTGCTGCGGACACAGCGCGGTTTTTCCCGGTGTCTCTGAGCCTCCCAAGGAAAATGCTGGTCAGGTTCGTCAGGATGAAACCTGAGAGCTTGACGTTTCCAGTAAAATACTCGCAGCACTTAAAATGAATGTTCACGGAAACAGATGCTGTCACAGTCCCGGTGAGTGCGTGGGGCCGCCGTGGACACTGCATGGAGGTGACTGGAGTTTTACAGCTCTGGTCAAGTCCTTCTGACACACTGTGTCATATGTGACTCTCCGTGCAGGAAGCAGTCCCTACTCTCCTCTGCTTCCACTTTCTACTTCAGTTACGTGTGGCTTGTATTTGTGACACAAATCAAAATGCACAGAAACAAAAGAATTATTAGTTTGATTTTACTCAACACATCATTATTCTGCATTATAGTTACAGTTCATCTCTTACTGTGTTAATTCAATAAAACAACTGTGCCATGGAAGTGTGTGGACACAGGAAATATGGAGAGTAGACAGGGATCTGTGCATCTATGTTTCCATCTGTGCATCTATGTATCCATCTGTGCATCTATGTATCCATCTGTGCATCTATCTTTCCACCTGTGCATCTATGTGTCCATCTGTGCATCTATGTATCCATCTGTGCATCTATGTATCCATCTGTGCATCTATCTGTGCATCTATGTGTCCATCTGTGCATCTATGTATCCATCTGTGAATCTATGTATCTGTCTGTGCATCTATGTATCTATCTGTGCATCTATGTATCTAACTGTGCATCTATGTATCCATCTGTGCATCTATGTGTCCATCTGTACATCTATGTATCTGTCTGTGCATCTATGTATCCATCTGTGCATCTGTGTATCCATCTGTGCACCTATGTATCTATCTATAGAAAGGGGATTAATTAGAATAACTCACAGGCTGAGGTCCAACTAATCCAGCCTCAGACCCAAGACCCTTGGAGTTCTATAGACAGGAGCCTGTGGCAACTCAGGCAGCCATGGTGCTCCTTTAACTTTATCCTATGTGGGCTCAGATTAGTCCTGTTTTTTCCCCGTTTCTATTGTGCTAGACTCTAAGGCTTCTCTTTCTTCTTAAAAAGGAGAGACCCTGGACAGGCTGAAGTGGGAGGGAAGATGAGGTGGGGACATCACTGGCTACAGGAACTTTCCCGATGTTCAGAATGTCGTAATCTGTTACAATTAGCATTCAAGTGACTGACTGGAGTTTGTCTTGTTCAGCAGCAATTAAAAACCAACTCAAGAGACCTGGTGAGATGGCTCAGAGGTTAAGAGCACTGACTGCTCTTCCAGAGGTCTTGAGTTCAATTCCCAGCCAGGTGGGCCCACACCCATCCATTATAAGATCTGTTGCCCACTTCTGGTGTGCAGATATACATGGAAGCAGAATGTTGTATACATAATAAATAAACAAAGTCTTAAAAAAAAAACAACAACTCAAGGCTCAATTGCAAAGATAAGCACATACGGTGTCTTCTTCCTGGAATGGGGTTGTGATTCACTGTGCACAGTAGGTCCATAAAATGAAATCTTTCTGTGTTTTAAATTTTATAGTGTTTTGCTATTTTCATTTCAGGACAGTCTATTTCAGTCATCAGTGTCTGTCCTGTTCCAGCTGTGACTTCACTAACAGGTGATTCAATGTTGACTAAACAGGACTGTGCCCTCAGCGTGGGTGTCACACTCCAGATGTGTAGGAGAGGGAGAGGGAGCGGAGCCATTACAGTACTTTTCAAAAATGTATTTTTAATTTATGTGGGCATGAACATGGCTGGGTGGGCTATGAAAATGAGGTCACGACCCCTCCTAGGTATGGTTGAGGGGAGAAGGCTTTATTTTTGTAGATACGATGGAGAGAATTACCAGATGCATCTGGAACAGTCCAGAATGAATTTGACAAGCAGAATATGAGTGTGTGTGCATGTGTTTGTGTGTGTGTGAGTGTGTTTGTGTGTGTGTGGGTGTGTGTGTGTGTGTCTTTGTGTGTGTGTGCGTGTGTGTGTGTGTGTGTGTGTGTGTGTGTGTGTGTGTGTATGCAGGAAGACCAGGCACTGGCTCCCATGGAACTGGAGTCACTGATGGTTGTGAAACACCTCGTGTGTGATGGGAACTGAACCTGGATCCTGTAAACAGCAACAGTGCTCTTAATTCTAAGCCACCTCTCCAGCCCCTATTGGAATTTCACAGAAGGAAACCACACAGCCTGGCTCACAGCAAGATGGCTGACAAGATGGCTGATGACAGAACCTGGATGCAAAGGAAGAGACAGAGTCAGTGCAGAGCCTGAGTGAGGGTGCTGGGCATTGATGGATGAGGCCTGAGGAGACAGAGAAGGGCAGAAAAGGAGGTGACAGAATAAAGGAGGAATCCTAATGGCCCTGCAGGGCATCTCACATTCCACACTGAATACTGTGATGTTTGAATGAGAAGGGCCACACAGGGTCAGAGGTTCAGATACCTCAGTTCTAGTTAATGGAACTGTTTGGGGAGGATCAGGAGGTGTGGCCTTGCTGGAGGAGGTGTGTTGATGAGGAACCAGCAAGATAGGTTATTAACTGGTAATTTATTGGGGAGTTATACTCACAGGAGGAATCAGTAACCAGATTTGGCATTCCGAGAAGTCTGGTCCCAGATGCTTCCAAAGGCTGACTGAACCCGGAGAGACAGGGAGCCTGGCTCTTCCTCACCCTTTATGCTACACCCTTCTACATACCTGTGACCACGCCTAGCCAGGTGTGGCCATCGGTACACATATGGGTTCTCTCCCTACAGTGTGTCACTGGGGCTGGGCATTGAGGTTTTAATAAACTCCCACTATTCTCCATGTCTCTGACACTTGCAGATCAAGATGTGAGCTCTCAGCCTCCACTCCTTTCCTCTGCCATCATAGACTCAAACCCTCTGAAAACTTAAGAACAAATTAATCGCTTCATCTTATGTTTCTGGGGTACCAGTGTCTTATAACAGCCATAGGAAAGGAACTAAAGCCAGGTGTGGTGACAAAAACCTTTAATCTCATGACATGGGATGCAAATACAGGTGGATCTCTGTGAGTTCAAGGCCAGCCTGGTCTACACAGTAAGTTTCAGGACAGCCAGAGTGATGTAGCATGACCTTGTCTCAAACACAAAACAAAAACACCAGAAGAGACCCAAAGCCCAAAACAATTTATCCTCTCCTCATACTTCCTCTTCCTTCTTTTCTGAAGTCAGACCCTGGATTCTTCTCAAATAAAGTCACTTTCAGGAATACAATGGTAACACTGGGGTTGGGATGCAGGAGAGAGATGCTTCCCTTTAAAGCAGAGGCTCTGGCTGGCAACCACCACACAGACTTCCACAGAGACCAGGCTCCTGTGTCCACCTGCAGGGGGCGCACACACTGCCAAGCCTGATGCTCAGGAATCTCCCCTTTGCTCTTCACTCAGGATCCAGTCTTCACAGCTTTGTGCTTACACTCAGACTCCTGGTGTTTCTTCGAAGATGACCATCTGTGGCTCCAGGTGGTTGTGTTTCACGGGGATCATCACTCCATAGTCCTGAGATTGTCTGTGTGGATGGGTCATCATCTCAGCACAGTGGACCCCTTCTGCACTGGGAAGAGACCCCGTGGATATCAAATACAGCAGGACACGGAACCTGTCTACTCTCCATATTTCCTGTGTCCACACACTTCCATGGCACAGTTGCTTTAGTGAATTAACACAGTAAGAGATGAACTGTAACTAACTATAAAGCAGAATAATGATGTGTGGAGTAAAATCAAACTAATAATTCTTTTGTTTCAGT